TGGGGCCATTCAAATCGCCTCTTGGGGTGCTCGTGGGGCCCTCTTGGGGCGCTGTTGGGGCCACCTGGGGTCTTGGGCCCCTCTTGGGCCTCTCTTGGGCCATCTTGGTGCCATCTTGAGGCCTCAAGAGCGCAACGGAATCGAAAAGGCGAGAAGTTACAAATCGTTGCTTTCGCATCGGTTTGGAAAGGATTTTGGCCTCCTGGGGGGTCCTGAGGGGCCTCCGAGAACACTTGGAACCGTCTTCTGGCCCTCGTCGGGTCTCTTGGGGGTATGTCGGAAGCTATCTTGAACCATCGCCGGTTATCTTGAGCCATCTTGGATGCCATCTTCGAGCGTCGGAGGCCCTCGTGGAGCCATTCTGGGTCATCTCGGGCGACCTGACACTCCGTGGCAGGTAAACCTTCTGGAATTTTTAGAGGAGGAAAGGCAGAACTCGCTAGACCACCTTAGCCCAAACTGCTGGTGGGATAAGCGGGTATTCCCGCGGCGTTCTTATATTGACTGTGCGAAGAGGGCCAGCGCAAGACTTTGCTCATTCCCTACCCAGGCTCTGCCTAGAAGGGTTCTTACTCTCTTTGCTTAAAGGGCCGGGCAGTGCTAACCGCCCCGGGCGGTTCCCCCAGTCCCCGCCCCGCGGTTCCCCCAGTCCCCTGGGAGCTTTAGCCTTAGCTTTAGTTTTAGCTTAGCTTTAGCTTTAGCTTTAGCTTTAGCTTGGCTTTATCTTAGCTTTAGCTTAGTGTTAGCTTAGCTTCAGCTTAGTTTTAGTTTATCTTCATCTTAGTGTTAGCTTAGCTTTAGCTTAGCTTTAGCTTAGATTTAACTTAGCTTTAGCTTAGCGTTAGCTTAGATTTAGCTTAGGTTTAGCTTATTATTAGCGTAGCCTTAGATTAGCCTTAGCTTAGCTTTAGCTTAGCCTTAGCTTAGCTTTAGCTTAACTGTAGCTTAGCTTTAGCTTAGTGTAAGCTTAGCTTCAGCTTAGCTTTAGCTTAGCTTTAGCTTAGCTTCAGCTTAGCTTTAGCTTAGCTTCAGCTTAGCTTCAGCTTAGCTTTAGCTTAGCTTTAGATTAGCCTTAGCTTAGCTTTAGCTTAGCTTTCGCTTAGCTTTAGCTTAGCTTTGGCTTATATTTAGCTTAGATGTAGCTTAGCTTTAGCTTAGCTTTAGCTTAGCTTTAGCTCAGCTTTAGCTTAGCTTTAGCTTAGCTTCAGCTTAGCTTTACTGTTACTACTAATGCTGCTTTCCTAGGGGCTCCAACTCCTAGGTAGGGTCGCACTGGGATAATTCCCGGTTCCTTGATGGTTCCGTGCGGTTCCCTGGGGGCTCCCATGGGGTGCCCCGGGGTTCCTCGGGGATCCTTGTGGTTCCTGGGCGATAGTTGCTTTGCATTGAGTTGCAAGGGTCCACGCGCCAGACCCGCGTGTCAGGTCCGCACGCCCGACCGGCCCGCCCGGGTCCGCCAGTTCCCTTGCTTGGAGGCCTGGCCGCCCGCTTTAACGTCCCGCCTGCTAGGGCCCGTCCGCCCGGCCCGCACCCTTTTATGGGAATGGCCATTTATGGGAATGGCCATTCCCATAAATGGCCATTCCCATAAATGGCTAGATAATCCGCTTTTATGGGAATGGCCATTGAAGAAGACTCTTCTTCAATGGCCATTCTTCTTAGAAGAGCAGGGCGGAAGGCGACGGTTTGGGTCATACACATTGAATGGCCCGCGAAGAAAAAATAGCAAGTCTCGGGGCCGTCTTGCAGCTCTCTTTAGGCAGTCACGGGTAGTCTTGCGGAGTAAATGATCCATGTTGGGGCCCTCTTGGGACCGTATTGATGGTTTCTTCGGGCTTTCCGTATTTTTCCGAGGTGCTCGTATGAACAGGAAGCCGTCGCAAGCAACACCAACTGCAGATGTCGACGCTTCGCGTATCCCCACCAGCTTATCCAGAACCGAATCCCAGGCGAGCTGTCTTGAGCAGGGAAATGGAGCAAGCAGTGGACCCATGGGGGCAGCCGTCAAATCGCAGATCGGGATCAGACCGATCAGTCCGACGAGTCAGCCAGGAAAGCCTTTCTCAAAGCTCGCGCTGGATGGTGACGCCGCGCGGGTCAGCCCGAGCAGCCCCCAAGATTGGCCAACCTAGGGGTGCGTAGCCATTTTGGCTCAAGCCATTTTGGCTTAAAAAAGCTGGTCCCAAGTAGGGCCAAGCGTCTTGGGAGACTGCCACACGATCCGTCCGAGATATGCCGAAGACCAAGCCTCCTAGCCTCAAGGCGAAGTTCGCCCAGGTGGACAAGGATGGCAGCGGCAAGATCAGCCTGGACGAGTTCAAGGCGCTCCTCAAGCAAGGGGACCCAAACATCTCCGAGTCGTCCGTGATGACCGTCTGGAAGAAGTGCGACAAGGACGGCAGTGGAAGCATCAGCTCTAGCGAGCTCGCAGACTACCTGAGCAGCGGCGACAAGTCCGACTTCAAGCACCCCGGCATGTCCCCTGCGTGCAAGACGTTCTGCGACGTCTTCGCGAGCCTGACGCTGCAGAGCGAGGCCGGGAAGGAGGCCCGCGCTCACGCCTTCACGGCCTGCGACCCCAACGGCAATGGGTACGTGTCCCTCGCCGAGGTGGATGGCTGGATCCAGAAGGTCTTGATCACATACTTTGCGCAGGGCGAATGCGACGGAGATCCCAAGGAGGAGGGGACGCGCATCTGGAAGTGCTTCCGGCCTTCCTACATCCGCGCCCATACAGATGCGAAGGACGTGGCAGAATCGAAGACGTCTCACAGCGACGACTACGTGACAGCGAAGGAGTTCCGCGTCCTCTGCACCTACCTCATCCTGTACGCGGCGATGTACGACGCCTTCGCCCTCATCGACGGCGGTGGTGGCACCGTCGAGGACAAGTCTGGCGACGATCGCAGGATGACGGCGGAGGAGTGGGCGGCAGGCTACAAGAAGGTGGCAGACCACGGCTTCATCGGCCTCAAGAAGGCGGCTGCAATGGACGCCGCGGGCGCGGCGGACGTGTTCAAGAAGATGAACAGCGGCAGGGACGCCGATGGCAAAGAGTACGGCAACGACAACGTTGTGATGCTGGCAGAGTTCTGCGCGTACGTTGAGGCAGAAGAGATTTCGGCGGGGACGGCGTGGGGAAAAGTCCTGAGCCTGTGAGGCGGCACCGAGGCAAGGGGCAGATGACTTGATTGCTGAGTGTGGGCGTCTCGCCCTCCCCTCCCTCCTCTCGGTGCCCGATTCAGCCGACCCGCTTCCCATAAGAAGGGGCGGCCAGTGCGCTTAATGCAGCGCGCGTTCTATGGCTTCTGCGATTGCGGATCGGCGCAGCCCGTTTGGCTACGTGCGCCTTGGCGTGGTTCGCCCAGTCGTGAAACAGATCTGACCCGGGAGCCCCCGTGGAGCCATCTTGTGGCGCTCTCGGGGCCATTCTTGGAGCGTTTGCGGCAATCTTCTCCTGAGGCCCTCTCGGGGGCCTTCCTGTGCCATCATGTGCCGATCCAGGAGATTGTCCCTAAAAAAATGAGGGGCCTCAGATCAGCGCCCCGTGTCGAGGCTTGCCTACGGGGCCCTCTTGGGCCGTTCTCGGGTTGATCTTGGAGCAACGTGGGCTTGTCGTGGGGCCCTTCTGGGCACCTCTTGGGGCTCTCTTGGGCCATCTCGATGTCACCCTGGGGCCTCAGAAGCCCATCGGAAGCGAACGCGCGAGAAGGCGAGAATCACACGGAACGGAACGGCTTGGATGTCTGAGTGATGTTGGCATTGTGGGGCCATCCTTGATGAGAGGCTCCGTAGCCACCTCGAGCCGCATTGGCGCCTCTTGGAGGCATCGTGGAGACCATGTCGGCCATCTGGCGCCATCTTGGAGGCAGTCGTGGACTACCTGGGGCCATCTTGGAGGTATCCAGGGTCATCCTGGGCGCTCTGACGGCTCGCGGGGCGGCCCGTCCAGGGCGAGGGGCGGGCGGCAGGGTAAACCACTTCCCGAAGGGGAAGACACCTCTTGTAGTGATGCCCAGAAGCGTGGTCGGATGCTGGCGTTTGTTCATCGTCGTATCAGATCAGCAGGTGTTCAGCGCGAGACTTTGCGCGGTGCCTTCGCTTCCTGGGGGTGTCCCTTGCGGCTCCCTGGGGGCTCTCCCACGGGGTGCCCCGGGGTTCCTCGGGGCTCCTTGTGGTTCCTGGGCGATGGGTTGCTTCGCGTGGCGGTGCACGAAATGTGCGTTGCTCTGCACTGCGTTGCCAGGGCCCGCGCGCCAGACCCGCGCGTCAGGTCCGCGCGCCCGACCGGCCCGCTGGGGCCCGCCGGTTCGCGCGCTCGGAGGCCTGGCCGCCCGCTCGAATGTCCCGCCCGCCAGGCCCCCTCCCGCCCAGCCCGCCCGTCAGGGACCGCCCGTGTCAGGGCCCGTCCCGATCCGACCGCTCGCCTGCGTGGGCCACTCGGACCACCCCGACCGCCCGTCTGCGTTCAGTCGCCCGCTCGCTTGTCGAAGGTCGCCCGCCCCAGCAAGGAGAGGGAATCCCCTTGTTCCTGGGAGTCGCCATCGAAGACGAGGAGGGCGGGAGTCGACGGTTTGGGTCATACACACCGGGTGGCCCGCAGAAAAAAGAATAGCAAGTCTCGGGGCCGTCTTGCAGCTCTCTCGGGGCAGCCTTGAGCCGTCTGGTGGAGGAATTGATACATGTTGGGGCCCTCTTGGGGCCGCGTTGGTGGCTTCTGGGGGCTGTCCCTATCTTTCCGAGGTGCTCGTATGAACAGGAAGCCGTCGCAAGCAACACCACCTGCAGATGTCGACGCTTCGCGTATCCCTTCCAGCTCATCCAGAACCGAGTCCCAGGCGAGCTGTCTTGAGCAGGGAAGTAGAGCACGCAGTGGACCCATGGGGGCAGCGGTCAAATCGCAGATCGGGATCAGACTGATCAGTCCGACAAGCCAGCCACAAAGGCCCTCTTCAAAGATCGCGCTGGATGGTGTAGCCGAATGGGTCAGCCCGAGCAGCCCCCAACATGAGTCAACCTTTGGGTCCGTAGCCATTTTGGCTCCAGCCATTTTGGCTCAAAAAAGCTGGTTCCAAGTAGGGCCAAGCGTCTTGGGAGACTGCCACGCGATCCGTCCGAGATATGCCGAAGACCAAGCCTCCTAGCCTCAAGGCGAAGTTCGCCCAGGTGGACAAGGATGGCAGCGGCAAGATCAGCCTGGACGAGTTCAAGGCGCTCCTCAAGCAAGGGGACCCAAACATCTCCGAGTCGTCCGTGATGACCGTCTGGAAGAAGTGCGACAAGGACGGCAGTGGAAGCATCAGCTCTAGCGAGCTCGCAGACTACCTGAGCAGCGGCGACAAGTCCGACTTCAAGCACCCCGGCATGTCCCCTGCGTGCAAGACGTTCTGCGACGTCTTCGCGAGCCTGACGCTGCAGAGCGAGGCCGGGAAGGAGGCCCGCGCTCACGCCTTCACGGCCTGCGACCCCAACGGCAATGGGTACGTGTCCCTCGCCGAGGTAGATGGCTGGATCCAGAAGGTCTTGATAACCTACTTCGCGCAGGGCGAATGCGACGGAGATCCCAAGGAGGAGGGGACGCGCATCTGGAAGTGCTTCCGGCCTTCCTACATCCGCGCCCACACAGATGCGAAGGACGTGGCAGAATCGAAGACGTCTCACAGCGACGACTACGTGACAGCGAAGGAGTTCCGCGTCCTCTGCACCTACCTCATCCTGTACGCGGCGATGTACGACGCCTTCGCCCTCATCGACGGCGGTGGTGGCACCGTCGAGGACAAGTCTGGCGACGATCGCAGGATGACGGCGGAGGAGTGGGCGGCAGGCTACAAGAAGGTGGCAGACCATGGCTTCATCGGCCTCAAGAAGGCGGCTGCAATGGACGCCGCGGGCGCGGCGGACGTGTTCAAGAAGATGAACAGCGGCAGGGACGCCGATGGCAAAGAGTACGGCAACGACAACGTTGTGATGCTGGCAGAGTTCTGCGCGTACGTTGAGGCAGAAGAGATTTCGGCGGGGACGGCGTGGGGAAAAGTCCTGAGCCTGTGAGGCAGCACCGAGGCGAGGGGCAGATGACTTGATTGCTGAGTGTGGGCGTCTCGCCCTCCCCTCCCTCCTCTCGGTGCCCGATTCAGCCGACCCGCTTCCCATAAGAAGGGGCGGCCAGTGCGCTTAATGCAGCGCGCGTTCTATGGCTTCTGCGATTGCGGATCGGCGCAGCCCGTTTGGCTACGTGCGCCTTGGCGTGGTTCGCCCAGTCGTGAAACAGATCTAACCCGGGAGCCCCCGTGGAGCCATCTTGTGGCGCTCAAGGGGCCATTCTTGGAGCGTTTGCGGCAATCTTCTCCTGAGGCCCTCTCGGGGGCCTTCCTGTGCCATCATGTGCCGATCCAGGAGATTGTCCCTAAAAAAATGAGGGGCCTCAGATCAGCGCCCCGTGTCGAGGCTTGCCTACGGGGCCCTCTTGGGCCGTTCTCGGGTTGATCTTGGAGCAACGTGGGCTTGTCGTGGGGCCCTTCTGGGCACCTCTTGGGGCTCTCTTGGGCCATCTCGATGTCACCCTGGGGCCTCAGAAGCCCATCGGAAGCGAACGCGCGAGAAGGCGAGAATCACACGGAACGGAACGGCTTGGATGTCTGAGTGATGTTGGCATTGTGGGGCCATCCTTGATGAGAGGCTCCGTAGCCACCCCGAGCCGCATTGGCGCCTCTTGGAGGCATCGTGGAGACCATGTCGGCCATCTGGCGCCATCTTGGAGGCAGTCGTGGACTACCTGGGGCCATCTTGGAGGTATCCAGGGTCATCCTGGGCGCTCTGACGGCTCGCGGGGCGGCCCGTCCAGGGCGAGGGGCGGGCGGCAGGGTAAACCACTTCCCGAAGGGGAAGACACCTCTTGTAGTGATGCCCAGAAGCGTGGTCGGATGCTGGCGTTTGTTCATCGTCGTATCAGATCAGCAGGTGTTCAGCGCGAGACTTTGCGCGGTGCCTTCGCTTCCTGGGGGTGTCCCTTGCGGCTCCCTGGGGGCTCTCCCACGGGGTGCCCCGGGGTTCCTCGGGGCTCCTTGTGGTTCCTGGGCGATGGGTTGCTTCGCGTGGCGGTGCACGAAATGTGCGTTGCTCTGCACTGCGTTGCCAGGGCCCGCGCGCCAGACCCGCGCGTCAGGTCCGCGCGCCCGACCGGCCCGCTGGGGCCCGCCGGTTCGCGCGCTCGGAGGCCTGGCCGCCCGCTCGAATGTCCCGCCCGCCAGGCCCCCTCCCGCCCAGCCCGCCCGTCAGGGACCGCCCGTGTCAGGGCCCGTCCCGATCCGACCGCTCGCCTGCGTGGGCCACTCGGACCACCCCGACCGCCCGTCTGCGTTCAGTCGCCCGCTCGCTTGTCGAAGGTCGCCCGCCCCAGCAAGGAGAGGGAATCCCCTTGTTCCTGGGAGTCGCCATCGAAGACGAGGAGGGCGGGAGTCGACGGTTTGGGTCATACACACCGGGTGGCCCGCAGAAAAAAGAATAGCAAGTCTCGGGGCCGTCTTGCAGCTCTCTCGGGGCAGCCTTGAGCCGTCTGGTGGAGGAATTGATACATGTTGGGGCCCTCTTGGGGCCGCGTTGGTGGCTTCTGGGGGCTGTCCCTATCTTTCCGAGGTGCTCGTATGAACAGGAAGCCGTCGCAAGCAACACCACCTGCAGATGTCGACGCTTCGCGTATCCTCACCAGTGGCCGCACCGTGATGGCGCGCGCTGGAGGGCACACAGTCGCACGGCTACCCCCCCGACACTGTGTAGCGGTCCACTGAGACTGGCCTGGGCACTGAGTGGTTTAGCCTTCAGCAGCATGTACAGACTCTCGGACCCACCTTCAGCCCAACTGCGCGCGGCATACGTTCTCGACTGCACAGCCGGCTGGCTTACGCAAGTCGTTTGTTTGAAGTTTGGCGCCACGATGGCGACTCACTTCATTGGCCTTCCCATTTTCACTGGGCACAGAGACCTGCCCACTGTGGTGAGGTGCTTGCGCCTGTCATGCGTTGGCCATTCGAATTGGGTCATTTTGTCCAGTGCGCGCGCCCGTGCTAACAGTATGTCTGCCAGCTCTGGCAGGCCGCGTTTTGTTTTTGCAAATTAGCCTCGCCCGCGGCCCGGACGTTGCCATCGCCACATGACCGCTGGCCGCTGACCCAAAAAATAACCTGGCGAAGGACCCGACCATATGCAGTTGTGAATGCCGCAATTGTGCTGGGTGGTGGCGGACGCATGCGGGCGGTGCCACTGGGACCTTCGGTGGAGCTCCCTATGGGGCCACGAAACGCTGTACTGGGTGGGTGAGACGCGGTCAGCAAGGGCTGTGCTGCGTGGTGGCGGACGCATGCGAGCGGTGCCACTGGGACCTTCGGTGGAGCTCCCTATGGGGCCACGAAACGCTGTACTGGGTGGGTGAAACGCAGGCAGGGAGCAAGGGCTGCGCAGGGTGGTGGCGGACGCATGCGGGCGGTGCCGCTGGGACCTTTGGTGGAGCTCCCTATAGGGCTACGAAGCGCTGTTCTGGGTGGGTGAAGCGCAGGGAACAAGGGCTGTGCTGGGTGGTGGCGGACGCAAGCGGGCAGTGCCACTGGGACCTTTGGTGGAGCCCCCTATGGGGCCACGAAACGTGCGAGGGGTGTGCCAGAATGGGGTGTGGAACCGCATGCCAGCGCAGCCACTGGGGCCTTCGGTGGAGCTCCCTATGGAGCCACGAAACGTGTGAGGGGTGTGCAGAAATGGGGGGTGGAACCGCATGCGAGCGCAGCCACTGCGGCGTTCGGTGGAGCTCCCTATGGGGCCACGAGACGTGTGAAAGGCGTGCCGAAAAAGGTGGTGGAACCGCATGCGAGCGCAGCCACTGGGGCCTTCGGTGGAGCTCTCTATGGGGCCACGAACCGTGTGAGAGGTGTGCCGACATGGGGGGGGGAACCACATGCGAGCGCAGCCACTGGGGCCTTCGGTGGAGCTCCCCATGGGGCCACCCACGAAGCGTGTGAGGGGTGTGCCGAAATGAGGGGTGGAACCGCATGCGAGCGCAACCACTGGAGCGTTCGGTGGAGCTCCCGATGGGGCCACGAAACGTGTGAGGGGTGTGCCTGAATGGGGGGTGGAACCGCATGCGGGCGCAGCCACTGGGGCCTTCGGTGGAGCTCCCTATGGGGCCACGAAACGTGTGAGGGGTGTGCCAGAATGGGGGGTGGAACCGCATGCGGGCGCAGCCACTGGGGCCTTCGGTGGAGCTCCCTATGGGGCCACGAAACGTGTGAGGGGTGTGCCAGAATGGGGGGTGGAACCGCATGCGGGCGCAGCCACTGGGGCCTTCGGTGGAGCTCCCTATGGGGCCACGAAACGTGTGAGGGGTGTGCCAGAATGGGGGGTGGAACCGCATGCGGGCGCAGCCACTGGGGCCTTCGGTGGAGCTCCCTATGGGGCCACGAAACGTGTGAGGGGTGTGCCAGAATGGGGGGTGGAACCGCATGCGGGCGCAGCCACTGGGGCCTTCGGTGGAGCTCCCTATGGGGCCACGAAACGTGTGAGGGGTGTGCCAGAATGGGGGGTGGAACCGCATGCGGGCGCAGCCACTGGGGCCTTCGGTGGAGCTCCCTATGGGCCACGAAACGTGTGAGGGGTGTGCCACAACGGGGGTGGAACCGCATGCGGGCGCAGCCACTGGGGCCTTCGTGGAGCTCCCTATGGGGCCACGAAACGTGTGAGGGCGTGCCAGAATGGGGGTGGAACCGCATGCGGGCGCAGCCACTGGGGCCTTCGGTGGAGCTCCCTATGGGGCCACGAAACGTGTGAGGGGTGTGCCACAAACGGGGGGTGGAACCGCATGCGGGCGCAGCCACCGGGGCCTTCGGTGGAGCTCCCTATGGGGCCACGAAACGGGCCCACGAAACGTGTGAGGGGTGTGCCAGAATGGGGGGTGGAACCGCATGCGGGCGCAGCCACTGGGGCCTTCGGTGGAGCTCCCTATGGGGCCACGAAACGTGTGAGGGGTGTGCCAGAATGGGGGTGGAACCGCATGCGGGCGCAGCCACTGGGGCCTTCGGTTGAGCTCCCTATGGGGCCACGAAACGTGTGAGGGGTGTGCCAGAATGGGTGTGGGAGGGGGAGGAGGGGGGGGGAAGGGGAGGAGGAGGAAGGAGGAGGAAGGAGGAACGCGGGGCGACGTTTCTTCAAAACGAGGACCCAACACCAAAGGATGGTTGGGAAAAAGTATCCCCACGAACTTGGCATAACCAAGGTTGGCACAGTCATGGTTGGCATAGTCAGCGCGGTCGGAAATGGCACAGCCACGATTGGCAGAGTCAGCAGCAACTGCTCGAGTAAATGTTTTACCGTTCTCCTCATCTCCTCTCACACCGTGTGCCTGGCGTGCACTTCCTTTCCTCCCCCTTGCACCCTAATGCTGCAGCGGTTAGCTGCCACACCGGGGTGCCGACCGTGCCTGGCGTGCACTTCCCTTCCTCTTCTTTGTTTCACCGGGTTTATCCCACGCGGCTGGGGTTGCCAATGCCGCTGTCTGATGGTGCTCTGACAGCCCGAATTCCATGCAACGGTCACACTGGGGATGGGCGGTCAGGTGGCCCCTGGCCTGCTCCTGGCTGGTGTCGGCCTCCACTGGTGACCGAAAGGGTTCAGTGGGGTCTCGCTACGAATTCCATGCAAGGAACACATTGGGAATGGGCGGTCAGATGGCCCCTGGCCTGCTCCTGGCTGGTGTCGGCCTCCACTGGTGACCGCAAGGCTTCAGTGGACTCTAGCTACGCTGACGACCTCTACGGTGCAAAGACTTCGGCATGTGTGGCTCTGTGTGCCCGTCGGCTGCTTTCTCCTGCAAGGACTTCGCTTTCGACATGTGCCACTGCTGTACAATTGAGGTACTGCCGTTTGCAGTCCTATATGTGACGAGGTTGCCCCTCTTCACTCTTGCGCTGACACGATGCAGTTGTATCGCCTACGGCACGGACGTCGTCCGGGTGTGCCTGTCGGTCCTGGTCGTCTCTGACGGTGCCTTGTGCCGACTCACGCCGAGTGATTGACCTCTGCGTGTTTATGGTCGCGCCGCCGCGCCATTTTGGCTGCGCTTACTTGCTGGCCGCCACCGAGATGTCCACGCCACCTGGTTGGGAGTTTCGTTTCTGGCTCTTCTTCTGGGTGGCTGCCCGCGCGCTCGCTTCGCTTGCCTTTCTTTTCTTGCTGTTTAGTCGCAGCCCGATTAGTGTTCGGACGGCTTATCCAGAAACGCATACCCAAAAATTAGCCCGGCGAAGGACCCAACCATATGCAGTTGTGAATGCCGCAATTGTGCTGGGTGGTGGCGGACGCATGCGGGCGGTGCCACTGGGACCTTCGGTGGAGCTCCCTCTGGGGCGACGAAACGC